AACCAATTCACGAAAGTAAACGGGCGGGGGAGAGAGGGCAGATGGTGGCTGGTGGTTAAGGCAGCTGGATCCCACATGGTCGACCTCATGGCTCAGGCCTTGGACTTGCCAGCTTTAAAATCACACTGGGGGTGTGGTGCGTGTGCACGCCCAAGACTCTTGAGAGCAGAATGGAGAAAAAGGGACTGTGGTGTGGTCATCTCCCTGGGAGGTGTTTTTGCAATTTCCCTCCGTCTCTCTGTCTCACATTTTACAGTGAGCACACACACCCTATAGCAAATGAACAAAATCAACTGGAATGTTCTCTTGCAGACTTGAGTAGGAAAAATCATGAGCAGATTAAGCAATAATTGTACTCCAGAATGATTTGCATTTTAAAGGCTCTCAGTGCTTTATAATAGAGTCAAAAGTTTCTGGTTTGTCCTTTAAAAGGGATTTTGCTTTTGAAATGAGATGTTAGCATGTTTTAATTAGACATTTCATTCAAACGTCATGATTTGTGGCTTAATTAATAAAAGTTCTAAGGTTCTCCCACACTGATCCTGTGTTCACCATGGCAACCGCCAGGAAAGCTAACACTTCTTTTAGAAGGAGTGAGAATGCCAGTCCGCTCCCTCAGATGTGTTCTCCTTGGGCTTCGCTGCAGGCTTTGGTGGACGCTGGTGGATTTAGCTTCCTTAAAGTCAAGGATCTCCACTGGCGGCACCTCAGCCCCTGTGAACAGGCATGCACATTTTGGTGTGTGGAAGTGTTCTCAGCATCCCTAAAACCAGGCTGAGGGAGTGGGCTTCCTGATAAGGCTGAGCAGCGGAATGTGTGTGTGTGTGTGTGTGTGTGTGTGTGTGTGTGCACATGCATGCTTGCCGGGAGGGAGAGAGAGAGAAAGTTAGAGATCAGCCCCCCACACCCCAGGAATGGCCATGCTGCAATCCCTTCTCCTTCAGTCTTTTCTTAGGATCTCGGGCTTGCACTCACACACACCTGGCATGACTTTCAAGCCACCAGGTCCAAGACTTGAACCACACAGTCAGCCATGTGGGATCTAGTGCCTTAACCTCCATGCAACCTACAGGCCCACTTTAAATTATTTTTATTTCATTTTAACAAGAAAATTGAGGGACCACAAAAATAAACCCAAAGCAGGTATAGATATGCAAATTTATCCAACTGATCATAACACACTGTAGTCAGGCACCCCAAAACCACACTGTACCCCATAAATATGGACAACTGTCATCAATTAAAAATAATAAAAAGAGAGCTGGCCCCATGGCATAGCAGTTGAGTGCCATGCTTTGGGAGCCAGATCCCACATCACCGACCAAGGTTTGAATCCTAGTCCCAGCAACTGGAAAAAACATACAGGCAGGTGTGCATGCATTCCCAGAATCTTGACAGGGTGAAGAAATGGAGGAGAGAGGGTTGTGACATGACCACACCCCATCAAGGGTGCTTTCTCTCTCTCCCTCTGTCTGGCAAGCAGACACCCCATCACGTTAGAAAATAATAATAACAAATTTAAAGATTTAAGGCACAACATTTTTCCTTAGTACTATTTATTAGAGGAAGGTCCACTGCTATTTTACTATAAAATGACTTTATCTTATTCTATCCCCAAAGTCTTGAATGATCAAGAACTGTCAGAAAACTTTTATTGCTGGGTTTATTTAGACAGTGTCTGAATAAACTGTGCCATATTTAGAAAAATCCTAGCAATTTTCTATCTACAAATAGGTGTTTAGGAACTGTTGTAGGTGTACAGTGATTTGCCATAAGGCCTGACTGTATTGCTAACACGTGATTCACTCTAGGCCCAATCTCAGCTAGCTCAGCGCAAGGCTGTTAGGGCTTGACTCTCCTCTTCCTTACTCACTTGGAACTCCCATCCGTGGAGCTGCATGTAACTTTACAGTGTATTACATTGTTTTTTCAAAAGGAATTGCCATGCATGTCAGTCAGTACAGAGACATTAAACTCCCCACTTCATCCTTCACTATCTTTTCATTGTTTTTTTCTGATCATTATTATTATTCCAATTATTTTTTAAGCAGTCAATCACTATTTCTCATTTTTCTTGTAAAAAGACTTTACCCACCATGAAATACTTCTCAGACCAAACCAGTTGATAATACTATACACATCATCATCAACAGGTTTGAGAAGATACCCAGTCATGCTGACTGGCCTTATCCACCCATGGCCATTCACCTCCCCCATGTGGGTCCTTATGGCTGCCAGGGAATCATATTCCCTGGTCTTTTCTCTCTTCCACTCTCCTCGCAGCTTTGTCAGACTTCATCCTCTTTCCTCCACCTGCACCATGCCTCCTCGTCCTCACTCAGGTGAGGACCCTGCTTCCTGCTTCACTGCGAGCTCTGAAGCAACTGCTGCATCTCTGTGACACACCCTGCCCTCCCTCCTTATCCAGCAAGGCTCGCACCTCGCTTCAAGCACTGGAGCCATCCCTCTGCACCTGCTCACAGGTACTGTTCTAGCAACTCTTACACCTCACCTTTCATTATAAACCATTTCCTCCAAAACAGATATCCCCACCCATGCCCCCTTCCTTTGTTTTCCAGTCAGACTCCTTGAGAGCGTTGCCTCGGCTTGCCATCTGCAAGCTCTGTCCTCTTGTTCTCTCTTAAACCCACTCCAGCTGCCCTCGCTACTCCATTAAACAAGTGTTCTCAAAATCACCAATGACCTCGCTCGGTTTTTCCTGTGCCTGAAGCACTCTCCCTCAGAAATTCAAGTGGCTGGCTCCTTCATTTTCTCATGTTTTTACAAAATCGTCTTGGTAATGTCTTCTTGGTAAAGCCATGGCTGGCAATCCGACCCAAGATTTTGAACTCTCTCCCCCAGTGGACAGGGCATAGGCCCATCACTAGTTTAGTTCTCCTTAGCACTCACTATTCAACAACTGCTTTCCCCTTGTAATTTATCCTCTTTGTAGATTGCCTCCTCCAAGGAAATATATACACAGTGAAGGTGGATGTTTGTCTCTTATTCACTGATGTGTTCCCGGCTCCTAGAAGTATCTAGAATACAGTGGGTGTTTAATATGTTTGTGATTGAATGAATAAATGTAAAACTGACTTTCATATTTTACAGTTGGAAAAAGCTGAGGCTCTGAGCGTGTGTTTGAGTTGCCCCAGAGTGATCCCAAATGCTATAAATTATTTCATGATAATTACTTGAAGGGATAGGAAAAAAGGAAAGAGATCTTACTA